GATTTAGAATTTGTGTTTGATGAAGGAGATTAACTGAGTGATAAATGATAAAAGATCTTATTCTTGAAACATATATTTTGCTATAATATTTTGTATCCCATGTGTTTATTATTGTACCTTTTGACAAAAATGCCAAGCACTGAAGAGAGATGATTTTTATTATGATTGACTGTGTTCAATCATGGTGATTGAAGTGTTTTTCAATCTTGTTCTATTTTTAATGTAATGAATGTATCTGAGCCCACCCAACTCTGAGGACACCTATTGATTTTAAGTATTGACTGAAATATTCTTAGACTAATGTTAATTGGTTATCAATAGATTGATAAAAGGGTGAATCTGTAAGAGAATATTTTCCTCTGATCTGTTTATAGAGTTTCTTATTGTTTTATAGAATCTGTGATACTGCAAACATCTGCTTGTAGTCACTCAAAGACTCCTGTGTAGGTTGAGGCTTGTCTGGATCTCTTTGAGACAAGTAGACCATTGTCTCACATCTGCTACTAATTAGGTATACGCGGGCTTTCTGGGAGCCCGCCTCTCCTCGTGTTGGTTAGATGTTTTGTGTCTTTTGGGGCAGAGATTACCTTGGTGGAGCACAAGGACAGTGTGAAACTAGGATGATCTCCCGGCCGTGTGTAATTGTCTGTCTCTCAATAAATATCAGTGTATGACAGGTGAATCCAGTTTCCCTCATTTGATGATGCGCTCAACATTGCTGCAAAGAAGTTTTTACTTCACATGGACCATCATGCCATTAATCGCTGTTAAATAGTTATTTACAAGAAGACATAAAAACATAAACAACAAAAGGACATCATACAGCAAAATGTACAGGGATTACAATTTACATATCTAACCACATGTACAGGTACCAACAGCATCTGATTTTGTAGCATCCAACCGAGCTTTAAAAACATGTAGTGGTACTAGCTTGGTAATTTTCCATTCCTTTTGCAGACTGTTCCATGTTAGTGGAGCTGCACATCTAAAAGCTTTCTTCCCTAAGACAGTCCTAGCACTTGGCACATTTAATAAAACCACAGCATGCGATCTCAGGCAATAAGTACTTTCAATTCGCCGAGAGATCAGGGAGCAGATATAAGATGGTAGTTTATCCAACATGGCTTTGTAAATAAAAAAGTACCAGTGACTGAGCCTCCGTACAGTAAGTGATAATAATAATTCCTTACATTTATTATAGCGCTTTTCCAGATGCTCAAAGCGCTTTACAAATACACATTACACATATCCAATGGTCATGTACTGTGGAAAATACCCACAGGAGCAAGATCAGGTGAAGTGTCTTGCCCAAGGACACAACCGCTTTACAGACGCAGCAGCGGCGGGTTTCACCCCTTGATCTGATGATCATTGCACAGCGCACTGCGCCACACCGTCCATCTTCACGCCTCGAAGTCATCGAAGCGCTTTTACAAGTACACTACATGTACTGTGGACAATACCCACAAGAGCAAATCCGGGTGAAGTGTCTTGCCCAAGGACACAACGGCCTGACGCAGTGGCGGCAGGAGCGGGTTTCGAACTGGAGTTCCCCAGCACCCCCCTTGATCTGATGATCAGATGCACAGACCACTGCGCCACCCGTCCTGTGATGGCAAAACTGCCTTGGTATACAGGGTACAGTGATGCGTAAGTGCTTTTCAATTTGTCAAAAATCTCAGTGCACTGTGATACGCAGCATCTAACTTGCTCAGGTAATTGGCAGGTGAATTCATATATAACAAATCACCATAGACCACATCAGCACAGGTAAAAAGGTCAGCCTTTTCCTGGCCTCAAGCGAGAAACAGGACTTATTTCTGTAAAAGAAACCTAGCCTAACCCTCAGCTTTTTAAGCAGGTTATTGACATGAAGATTAAAAGTGAGACAATCATCAAGCCAGATACCCAGGTATTTGTAACAGGTAACCACTTCAAGTTGTATTTCTTGCGTAGTTACAATATCCAAAGCAGTCTCTGGTGTATTTTTAGCTTTAGAAAAGAGCATTACCTTGGTTTTATCCACATTTAAAAGAAGCTTAAGCTCAGAGAGCTGAGCCTGAATAATGTTAACAGCCTGTAATTTAACAACAGCCTCGTTAATCGAGGGACCTGCACAGTACATAACGGTATCGTCCGCATAAAAATGTAAGGTTGCTTCTTCGACATTTTCACCTAAACTATTAATATAGATAGAGAATAATAGCGGACCTAAAACTGAACCTTGTGGTACACCATTAGTGATGTTTAACCACTCAGAAGACAGCCCATCAAACAAAGCTAGCTCTGTTAGCATTAGCCTGGAAGAGATTCAGGTCTGCAAAAGGAGGAACAGGGAGAGCAGTTCCTGAAGACACGAAACAGAGTATAAAGTGAAATGTGCAATAAGACGGTAAAATAAAAATGAAATAATACACATGTATACAAACCTAAGAAGTTGGAGTAAAACATGTGATGTGCAGCAAGAACATATAAAACAAAACAACACTATGTGCAATAAGGCAATAACATAAAATAGTAAAATACATATTTATATAAACCTGAGAATTTAAAGTGAAAATGTGCAATAAGACGATAAAATGAGAAACAGGAGGAAATGGAAGAGCAGCATTTTCACTTCCTGTGGAAAATCCTTCAAATAAATCCACACAAATGGTTGAATTACCTGAAACCACGGTTTGCATAAATACAATGACGTGTGTTTCTGTCATCGGTCTGGAATGTTTTTAAATGCTAAATAAAAGCTTGATAAAAAACTAAAAAAGTTATAAAATGTGCATTAAGACTATAACAAATAATACAAAATACAAATCTGCCACTTTCTTACAGAGCCCCTCCTCCAACACACCCGAACGCGCAAAAGACCAATGAGGGCACGAGATAAGTTTGTGCACAGATGGAAGGCTGACAGGCAGGTAGGCCATCCAGTTACAGCCGGGCCGGCTCAGATGATTGGTCGTGCTTTTTTCAGTACTACGGCTTCCACAGATGACATTTTTATATGGATTTTTTGTCAAAGCATTTCAAATATTCATTGCTATCGGGATGTAAAATGATAAAATTAAATAAAAATAACTTGTTTTTCTAAAGATAAGAAGTTAAGGAAATAATGTGCAAAAAGAAGATAAAATAGAATATAATATTTGTAATTTGTATTTTATAATAATATGAAGAAATGTTCACATTGTGCTTAAATATATAAAAATAATCAATATGTTAAAATGTGTATATCAAAATATATACAGTGATGTTAAGTATTAATGAAACCAGAATTTTGCTTGGATTGTACGGTGTAATATTGTATGTTTTGTAATTTTGATGTTACATTGGGCATTTGAATTATGTTGGATAAAATATCTGATAACTATTATGTTGGTTTCACAATGAAGATAATAGTGGCTCCATCGTGTGGCATATCAACAGAAGAATACATAATGCAGAATCTCTACATTATAATGTTACTGAGAGGATTCAATTACCCGTTTCTACAACTGAACGTTAGCTTATGGGTTTAAAAACCTTATAATTGCAATAATTTAACAAATGGGACTGTTTCCATTCAATCGCTGAAACCTCAAAGTAATCTACTCTCTATAATCAGGATTTATAAACTTATGTTATATCAAGTTGTTTTATTAAACACTTTTCTCCCTCATATCTATATGACAACTTTCCTTTACCAGTCATCTTCAACAGTAAATAAATACAGAGCTCAATCCCAGGTCAAATGCACATAAAGGGTAATAATGAGGTTCAGCAACAGGAAAGCATTACAAATAATGCCATTCGTATTATATTAAATAAACTATCCAAGATGTGTGTTTGATGCAAGAGAGAAAGATAAATAAATTGGACAAAAGCAAAAGAGATGTGAGAGAGTTTTTATTGAAACTTTAAGCCTAAAGGAGTTAGGATAAGGTGGAACAATTAAGTTTTACATGTACTATTAACATTAAGCATTACACTGATTGGATACACATATCAATCAAGTTTTAAATCATAATGGAGTACATGATAGAAGAATCACTTGTGAAGCTACATAGGATTACACTGTAAACAGTGGTTAACACCACAATAAACACCACTTATAACCCATAAGGCACAAATGAAGACTCGTTATCTGATAGCATTAAAAAACAAGAAGCTTAATGTAGTCAAATGCAACCGATAAAAAAATGGGTATTCTGAAATGGCCGCTTTCTTAGTTTTCTAAAGAGGCCAACGGTTGGTATTTGACCTTTGATGCTCTGACTTTGTACAGGGCCACTGCACTGATCATGCCAACGGCTGCAAGAAGACATCCAACGATGAACACCAGGTTCAGATTCAGGGGGTTCGCTGGAGAGAAACAGAAGCGTTATTTTAATTTCACATTTCCAAAGACTAACTCCTCAGAGGACATGGTCGAATTGTCTTATTAGTCCAGGAAGGTTCCTTACCGAGTGAAACGACCCGAGGTCTCTAAGTGGCATCCATGATAACAGCTTTTTAAAATGTTGATGATAGGAAAGAAGCTTTAATGCTTGATATCTCCTTTAGGATACACTGGAAAATCCTGTCCCACAATACCTAAGGCCCATCACTTTTTCACTAAGGTTAGAACCTAATTTGCTCATTTTCATATCAGTATGTAGTGTCTCTACTGGGACATGTCTCCATGCTTTAATGTTCAAAAAGCTCTTTATTCTTCTCATACTGCCTGTGCTGCAGCACCTCTTTTCACCCTCTGTTTGAAACCAGAGCCCAGTCTGCTCTGATTGGTTAGCTGGCCGGCTCTGTTGTGATTGGTCAACCACTTACATTAGAGATGTCCCGCCCAGTAGCGTAGGCAGAAATGTACTTTAGGGTGGGCCTGTAAAAAATAGGATGGGCCAGATTTTTCTTCTGCGCATCAGAAGCTAACAACAATCCCCGCCGGTACCGGTGGCAGATTACTTTTAGAATACTTTTGGAATACTTTATTTTTCCATAACAGATGGGTATGTTTTGGTGAACAGGAGACACGTATTTTACTGTTTTAATGGCTTATCAAGAACTCAAACACAACATCTTTGCAGGTGTCTGTTGTCTGTGGTGGTTGGAGTTGTATGCAGCCACGGCCGGTATGTGGGTAGAGGAGGGGCTGGTGTCTGACGTGTAGTTGTTGCTGGAATTGTATGATGATACCACCACCCCCATGGGGTTGTGGTTGGTGCCATAGTGTTAAGCGCTGGAGTCGTGATTGGAGTTGAAGTCGTGGGAGGATATGTGTGGTAGTAGGCTCGTTTATGCCTCATGGGAATCAGTGGAGCCTTGTAGGATTGGGTTCCATCGGTGTAGGATAGAGAGATGGGCCTTTGCGGGAAGTCCTCCACCACCAACTCAAATCCAAAAACACTTGGGTTGGCGATGGCATTGCGGTAATGTAAGGAGCAGGAACCCTAACAATGTAAACATTCAGACATTTAGTGAGGCAAAGGCTCTGTCAGGTATTGGAAAATGTATAAGGACATTGATTTTTAATTTACAGACCTGATCCAAGACAAAGCCTGAAGGTTGGTTACATCCGCTGCACTCTATATTTCTGATATTTCCATATCTGCAGCGAACTGTGTCTCCATCAGGGTCGAAGGACATCAGCTTGTAGGTCCGTGGGCAGTTCTGGGGAACTCTTGAAAGGACAAATTAACACGAGTGAGGAACACTGTTCTGCCCATAAAACCCAAAAGGATCAAATAATCAGAGTTATAAATGCACATGTGAGGTAGTAGAGTAAGCACGGCCACAGTGGCTTATTTTAGGGTGGCCCCAAACACACCCTCAAAGAATTTATATTGATACTTATATGAACATTACACACCCATTTCAAAGAATAAACACAACGCGAGTTGACCTTTTTTTAATGAATATAATTTCATTCAAATGAATGGAAGCAGTAGACACAGTTATTAAATAGAGGCAATTGTAAAGCAATCATCTAACAACTATTTTGGGAAAGAGGTTTCAGCCGATGGTAAGGCAGAACTGTAAAGGTTAACACCCATTTTGTCACTTTACTTTGTGAGTGCAGAGCAGAAACTGTCTGCAGGACTTCACCTTCATGATACAGAGCGATTTAATCAAACAACAACATAAAGAATGAGCTTACCGTAGGAAAGGTAGAATGGCAATGTCTGGGGATCTGTTTGGTTTGCCAGTGTCAGATCTTGATCCCAAATCTACTTGAGTTCGAAATCTCCAACCTGAAACCCCGTTACGTGTTCGGATCCAACAACAGCTACTTGCCCTGATAGGTGTGCAAACAAATACTGCATTAATAAACAGATGCTTGTTTTTATTTATTATTTTATGATAAGCATCAAAACAACAAATACAAGTGTTTGCAATGCAATTATGGAGACTCATATAACATTAGCATGATTTGAGTCAGAGAAAAAGCTCACCTCATCTGAAACGGTTTGTCAGTTGGGACTTTTCTTTGTTGAACTGTTTCTGTTTCACACCATTGTCTGTTGCTTTGCGGTGAATTGGTGCTCCTGTCAGTTATGCCTCTCTGTTGATTAGTGACTAAGCCACAGTTGCCAGTGCTACATGTCTGGTAATGGGAGTACAGACACCCATCATACAGTAGGTCGCCCTGTCGCGAAAGTCCACCTTTGAAAAAAAATAATATTAATGCATATTTTTATCGCTATTTCCAATGTATTTTGTGCTTTGACATATACTGTACCAATCAAGGTAAAAAGCTAGACAACACAGTTAAAAGAAAACATTGAGGTAAACTATATTTAATGTATGGCAAAAACTTTAACAAAAGTGAGTGTAAAATTAACAACGTCATAAATATGAATAAATTAGTTAATTATTAACTGATGTAGTTTCTCTCACCCTAAATGATCAATCAGGGTTTCTTCCTTTGTAGCTATAGGTCACGGTTCCCCCGTAGTGATGTGATGCAGACGCCAGTGAGACCAGCTGAAGCAGGAGCAGAAGAGCGGCGGCCATCTTTTCCTAAATTCACCTCTGTCTCGAAGTATCTGCTGCTCACATCCACCTGCAGCATCCTTTTATACACACCTGGACATGGTTCCTCCTTGCAAGTTATCACCTTCATCTATTGATAACTGATCTATAACTGCCTTACGAAAAAACACTATAGTATTACTATTGAGAATTACTATAGAAATACCACAAAAAACTGCTATAGTATTTCTATGGTGTTTTGGGACACACTATAGAGAATTACTTTAGTAATACTATAGAGTTGGCTATGGTGATCTTATAGTGAAGTTACAGTTATACTATAGTGTTTCCTGTAGTATTTCTATGTTTTTTCGGCCACTATAGGAAATTACTATAGCTATACTATTGAGTTTTATGTAGTATCACTATAGTGCTTTATATATTATTTCCATGGTTTTTTGGAACACACTACAGAAAATTACTATAGTAATACTATAGAGTTGGCTATGGTGATCTTATAGTGAATCTATAGTTAATTAGCTTTAATAATGATGTATTCATCCCTATAGTAAGTGTGGTATCAACAAATACAAGTTAGCAAGCAGAGCAGTTTCAATTTGAAAGATAGGGACTTTATTAACAAAATAAAATACATTGTTCACAGAATATGAATACGAATAACTTAAATGTAAAAAATGTACAAGAATAATTTCAGGCCCGAAACAGAAATGGTTGGGCAATGAAATTAAGAAAAAGTGTCCCAACCCCTATACAGGGTTCTTACACCTTTTCCAAAGTCAAATTCAAGCACTTTTCAAGCATTTTCAAGGTGCATTTTCCAGCTTTTCAAGCATCTTACAGCTGTTGTAAATTACATATTTATATACACATACTCAAATGATTATTTCCCTACCTCACATTAAATCCGATGTTCTTAATGCGATAAACAACCAAATGTGTGTTTCGTGATAGCATTCTACACGAGGATGAAAAATTAAAGAAAATAAAACTAAGTTTAATATTTCAAAATGAGTGATCTGTACGTAGACTAGGCCTCCCATATAACCTGTCTGAGCCAATATAAAACAATCAGCCAAATAACTTTTCAATACATTATTGATTACTATTTTTGAGGTACTTTTAGGTTGGAAGTGAACATAAGTCAGAGGTACATGGTGTACTTTTCCTCCACTATATGTATTTAATCCCTTTAGTTACTTTACAGATCTGGATGAATGATGTGAAATCTAATCAAGTGTTAAATCAGACTTTAGTTCCACCTGGAGTAAATCCACCAGCTACCCTGCAGTATACAAAGTCATTCAAACTAGCTGCACCTTCACCAGCTTTGAGAACACTTTCATGATCAATCATTATAAAACATATCATATATATTATTCTGAAATGGACCAATCTGCACAATGAATACTTTTACTGTCTTTAACTATATCTTGATGAGAATACTTTTCTACTTTTACTTGAGGAACATTTTGAATGCAGGACTTTTACTGTAACAGAGTATTCCTACACTCTGGTACTTCTACTTTTACTCAAGTACAAGATCTGAGTACTTCAACTTTTACTCAAGTACAAGACCTGAGTACTTCTACTTTTACTCAAGTACAAGATCTGAGTACTTCTACTTTTACTACAAGATCTGAGTACTTCAACTTTTACTCAAGTACAAGACCTGAGTACTTCTACTTTTACTCAAGTACAATATCTGAGTACTTCTACTTTCACTACAAGATCTGAGTACTTGTACTTTTACTCAAGTACAATATCTGAGTACTTATTCCACCTCTGGTAGTGTATTAGTCTGAATTGTAGCCACAAAATCATGCAGAGCTGCATAAAAATAGCCTCACAATGGTAACAAGTGGAAAATAATATGTACAAATGTGTACAATGATTTGTAGGTAATTTTGACTACTCAAGACACCTGATTTATACATCTGCAAAGGAAGACCGTGTTCATTCTACAATTACATGGGATTAAAGCAACATGTAGTTTTACTTGTATAATACTTCAATTTTATATAAAAGACAGTTTGTTTTCATGTTTTCAAATAAACAAAGTATTGGCTTTCAGAATATTAAACTTGTTTCGGCAAATGTAGATGATAAATACAACTTTGAAGCTTCGGCATAATTACAAGCAGAGAACGGACTAATGTAACGTCACAGCAAGCATAACAGCCGCCGGTGTTTCTTGTGAGTGTTTCCCCGGTACACAAACGCAAAAATACACAAACACACTCGCGAGCTTCCCCCAGACCAGTAATACAAACGAAAATGTGTCTTCGGGTCAATGTGACTGATTTCGATAGAGCAAGTCACATTTGGTTTAGGCACGAAACATACTACCAGTAGAAATACATTGCTTTCAAAATCGCTCTGTGTCGAATCAATAGATTATATTTCGTGACTATAACACAAAATGCCGTGAGTGCTTCATCCTCTGAACACCACAGGATGGCGACTGTAACGCACATAACATAGGTACGCTCCTCTGAAATGATTGTCCCCTGCAATTATTATTATCCCTCAATCGAGTTCGCTATTCAGCTAGCTAACGTTAGCTTAAACAAACGTAACATGCAACGTTAGCCTAATCTAAAATGCTCAACTACGGCGTACCTTTCATGTGGCTCGTCAGCGCAGACTCTCCCATCGTTATGTTGCAAACTTAGCAGGAGGCTACTTGTGGGCTTGACCCTCGTCTTAGCCATGGCTTGTATTTGTATTCTGCTAGCCAACGCTCGTTGAAACGGCAACCTCCTGGCACACAGTCAACTATCACTCTCATCAGAATGCCTAAGTCACACGTAACACAAACACTTGCAGGTCGCGCGCATAGCGCGGGGAAGCCGCAGCGGAGCTGTTTTATGTACAGTAGAAGCGAAGCAATTCTTTTCTTTTAATCTAAAAAGCGAACTATTCAGTCAGACAGCAATTTATTGTAAAAGTAAAGCATTTACATTTTCAAGCACTTTATCTCAATTTCAAGCACCATTCCCATAATTCAAGCACTTTCCCAACCTTGAAAACACCACGTCAAATTTCAAGCATTTTCAAGGATTTCAAGCACCCGTACGAACCCTGCCTATATATAAACACATTTCACATTCATATACTTACAACCCATGCCTCTCCACCAAGTCAGAGATGCAAACTTTGACAAGTTTGAGGCTGGTCTTCTCGGTAAGAATGGCATTAGTTTGCAGTTCATCAAATCAGTGTGCGAAAAAGTACACGTCCCACCGTCCGGGACGTGTTATTTACAATATCGGACAAGTAGATCTTTCAATTGACTTGTCCGGCGGACAAGTGACGTTTTTCGGCCTGATTTATTGACAAATTATTGATACATTCAGTTTACAAAAGGCAGAACTCATTCGCAAATTGTACGTGTCCGCCATTGTTTGTTTAGAAGTGTTAGTTTCGGTTCTGCTTGTCGATTCCTAAGGAAATGCATCTCGCCGCTTTCTATACAGTTAGACGGGGCGGGAAGTGTAGCACAGTGGCAGGGTTGGGAAGCAAAACACGGTTCCGAGTAGGAACAAATAACAATTGTCCGGTACCGGGATTAATAAGAGTTGTGAGGACAGGAGGCGAGGCCGAGCCCCGCGGACTGCAGCTCTCTCTATGCTCCGTATCAGCTGATCGCTGCACGGTGCAGCTCAGCGTCTCTCTCTCTTTCTACACACAGCGGATCCGCTGCCCGATTAACAGCCTCATCTTTGTCAAACTTTCTTATTTTCTTTCTCTAACACATAATGAAGGTTATTAAGCGTTTTAACTCCTATGTTGTTAATATTGACCACCATTTCCTTTATGAAGTAAAGCAACCTCCCTGTCTGTGTCCTCACATCCCCGGACCCCCAGACTCAGAGGAGCACAGGGATGTCAGTATTGTTTATGAAGCAGGGTATAGAAAGTACATTATTGAAATGAAAATACTATTTATTTACTTTTACAAACAGTGAGCAGCTGCAGCATGTGTATTGCAGGACATGTGTAAGCGTATTTGAGTTGTAGAAAAGCGCTAGGCCTATAGGCTATACTTCTAATGTGTCATTATTATTATTATTAGGTTATGTCCTATGTGTTGGACATGTGTGGTTGGACTTTGTCTCACAGGCAGGTTGCAGTGTAACATCAGAGGAGACTGGGCCAATTGTACATTCTCAAACTGCACCACTTAGAACTAACTAAACAATGCAGAGATTATTTTTATATAAATTGTATTCAATAACCGTAAGAAATGCAACAGTATGAAGTGATTTGTAAATAGGAATACAGATTTGACTTAATCTTTTCATAAATATATTTTTCTCCCAGTTTGACTTATTTTTACCCTCTCAAAGAACCGAAAATAACCAGAATCGTTCAAATCCAAACGATACCCAACCCTGTGTGATGCAGTAAAATCTTACCGCTCACTTACGTTAGCGGTGTCGTAAAAACCGTGGGAAAATGTAAAATACGATGACGAAGAAGAAGATTCCAGTGGCCCCAATTTTTGTCCATTCTGGACAAGTGAAAAATGTATTCGGACAAGTAAATTGCCAAACTCACTTGTCCATGGACAAGTACTCTCTAAAAACTTTTTCTCACACTGCAAATACTTCTGGAATTGTCTTCTTAAGTAGATCAGTTAGGCCATTCAGAAGAACTGGTTCTTGGCTGAACAAAACAATAAGAGCAAGCACAGCACAAAGTAAAGTTCTGGCCTGTGTGATTTTTTGAAACACAATTTAACAAGCATGGTACATGTATACCTGAGTGTGACAGACTTCTCTTAGGACAGGCTGAAGATCCGGTGCTTCAGAAAAGTGCACTTGGAATCTGTCAAAGTTACTGATGTTCTCACTTCTATCAACATCTATAAACTCTTTGAAGTCTGTGTTGTATTTAAAAATCCTATCCAGGACAAATCCAAATTCACCTGTTACTTCCAGGAGATGGTTTGTGCTTTGGACACTGTAGATTTTTCTTTTAATTTCCTTTTAGCTAGGACTTTAACAGATTCCTGCAGCTCATTCCCGCTTCCTGTAATTATAAGAAAAAGACAAATTCATCCTGATGTTGACTAATCATATTATGCCAGATTAAATTAAATGCCATCATCTATCATCTTCTAGTTAAACCCATTAATACACACCTTATATAAATTATAAGCAGTATGGTAATTTTAAGTTAATTAACTTCACCCATAAAGACAACTTCTAGAGAAGCACAGGGGATATTCTGCTCAGCCTCCAGTGGCGTTTTCTCCTGGAGGCTGGGTATTTCTTTATATATTTTATTTGTATTAAAAAACATCTCTCCGCTGTTGTCAGTGAGTATTTTACAAAGACTGAAAGAGCGCCCCTCTAAATTAATGTGTGGTGAAACACAGTATTGCACGCTACACTCACTCTATACTACACCCGCAGTCCGCTGTGTCAGGGACAGAACGGTTTGATTGGTCGGAAGGAAAGCCCGCCGGCCCTTCCCTTCCGACCAATCAAATAATCGGAAGGGAAGGCCTAACGTGCCGTGTGTGACGCTGCATCTCACATACACAAGTTGCCTTAGCGACAAGAGGCAGATATGAAATCTCCCTTCTACACAATATAATATTTGCAAGTATAGAGTAGTGGCTGATGTTTTAGCCAGAAACAGGTAAACTGTAGTACTAATAACTTTAGTGCGAGTAAGTTACGTATTTGCACTGTAAGAGACTGCATATCAACGCAGCCTCTGTCGGTCTTCTCACCCGCACTTCCCCCCCACATCTGGCCGAACAATGAAACCTAGCCAAAGTAGCTAGATAGCATTAAACATATAGCTGCTAATGCTATCAATATAATGCCGATTGAAGAATGATGGTCACAGAAAAGAGTGTAAGCTACATTAAGTTAAGATAAAAATAAATATAATAAAAAAGAAGAAGAACTACGGCTTAAAGGAAAATAATTGTCATCCAGGCAGCTAAACTCAAACAATAGTTAGCTGTTCAACATTGGCAAAACATATTTATTTAAGTTTAAAAATATGTATTTAGACCCCTAGCTTGCTCACATTATGACAATATATCTGCTCACTTTGTTAAAAACGTTTTGTTTCTGTAACTTACCTAGAGTTAGACTCTCCTCCGCTGACATCCATCCTCCACAGCAGCCAGAGGTGAAATGGCAGTTGGGACATTTGATGGACAGTTGAAAAATGATACATTTGAAATAACTCACCCGTGATTGGGCAGGACAGTGCCCAATGACAGTGCCCAATGTTAGCCCAGTGTTAGTCAAACCCAGAGCCATATAATAGAAGAGTTATGACATCTCCGTTCACTCCAATGGACCACTTTTTTTACAGCAATGACGGATCGTGGAGCCTCTCAATCGTTCCCCGGAAGTTAGCGCCAAGGCTAGCAGAGCTGTAGAGTTGCAGCATAATAGACCGTTCGTGACGGACTTTTAAAGGTAAGAAGAAGTTTAAAAATTTATATTGCGGATATTATCAGTACATCTGATTCAAATTAACATGTGTATTAAAGGATGTCAGTGGATTATCCCTAAATTAGTAGATTTAGGGAACGTTTACAGATAACAGATTAAGCTAGGATACCGAAGCAAGTTAGCAACAGACGTTGAACAACCTTTTAATTGTAAATGCCGTTCTCTTAATGTCAGTTGGTCCAACGTTGTTGAATTAGAGAAGAGGGGCTTCTAAACGGGATTGTACGCGGGGGTGGAGGGAGTTAAATATTAGATAAATATAACTTTGGTGCGTGTAAGAGTGAGTGTTTTTAGCAGAGCCATATTGTGTACTTGTGATTATGTTGATTATTACCTGCCTGTATAATGTTGCAGCTCAGCTGATTTTGGATTGATGGCAAAGGGAGAGGGACTTAAGTGAGAGTGAAAACACAAGGTAAGTTTAATACTACTGTTTTATATAAGTAAGCATACTAAACATGTATTCTGTGAAGGTCTCACTAGCACTGAGCTAGCTATCCATCCAGTTAAACCGTTTGAAAGAAAACTCCAGCGCAGTTGTCAGTTTTACTGAAGTCTCTTTACTTGGTGAAACTGTAAAGACAATACAGACATAACAGTTTATTATTGACGAGCTAAACTAAACAGAATACCTCACACAATGAGCTACGACGCACAAACTGAGAAGCTAATCAGCCTAGCCGCTAGTAGCTTAGCCGCAAGGAATACTCACTGCATTCCTACAAACATAAACATTTTACATACAACATATTCTCATTAAGCCACAGCCTGTCGGATAATAACACTCAGACGATGCGTGAACCAGCGGGAAATATGAAGCACAGCCCATGGAGAGCAGACATCCGTTCATGAAAACAACCCAAGCTACACATGGAGCACACTCGGAAACAAACAAGTTCGTTTTCCTAGTAACAGGAATCGAATAAACCACTGGCAAGCAGCAGTGTCAACCAACCACCACGAGGTGGTGCCAAAACACAGCCAAGAAACACATACATGACAGATATACACCAAAAACACATATCAAGGACAGAGCACTCCCCGCCTGGGGTTTTTAAACCCCAGATCAATCAACAAGAATCAGTCTTTGGAGACAGAAGCAGGACCACTTCTGTAACAGGACGAGAAAAGATCCTTTTGGTCTTGTCCTTGGAGATCTCTACCTCAATCTTACGAACCAGTCCATCCCTTCCTGGGAATGTCTTTGAGATGGTGGCCATAGGCCATTCGTTTCTCTGAGCCTGATTGTCTTTCAGGAGAACAATGTCCCCCTCTTGAAGGTTTGGCCTCTTGGACTGCCACTTGTGACGAAACTGCAGAGTCTTGAGATATTCTTTTCTCCACCTACTCCAAAAGGTGTCCGCCAGGCTCTGAACTTGCTTCCACTGCTCTTTAAAGAGGTCTGCCTCTTCAAAGTTACCTGGAGGAGGTGGTGTAGAGCCTGTTTTGAGGGTCAGGAGTATTGCTGGGGTGAGGATGAGAGGTGACTCTGGATCTGAAGATACTGGGATGAGAGGTCTAGCATTGATGACTGCTGTCACCTCAGCCATGAGCGTAACCAGAACTTCATGTGTCAAAGAAGACTTCTTCTGTTCAAGCAGCAGATAGTCAAGAATGCGACGAGCGATGCCAATCATCCGTTCCCATGCCCCACCCATGTGGGACGCATGTGGCGGGTTGAACACCCATGTGCAGTTCTGCGTGCTCAGGTACTTCTCCACGTTGTTGCCACTGGAATCTGTAGTCTTCATTTGCAACTCTCGAGAAGCGCCGACGAAGTTAGTGCCGCAGTCAGACCATATTTGTTTTGCTGGGCCCCTGATAGCGAAGAATCTCCTTAAGGCATTAATGAAGCTGCCGGCACTCATTGTTTCAATGACTTTGATATGTACTGCCCTTGTACACATACATGAGAACATCACTGCCCATCTTTTTGAGTTTGAATGTCCTCCTCTTGTGCGTCGTGAGGCTTCCCATGGCCCGAAGACGTCGACATCTACGTAGGTGAAAGGAGGTGCTACTTGCAGTCGTTCGGCTGGTAGATCCGACATCTGTTGATGTTCTGTCTTTCCTCTCAGCTTCTGGCAGGTTACACATTTGAAGAGCACACTGCTGATACTGCGCTTTGCTCCTACCAACCAGAACCCTGCAGCTCGGACAGCTCCTTCGGTGAAGTGCCTTCCTTGGTGCTTCACTGCCTGGTGATGGTGATGGATCAGCAGCGTTGCCAGATGGTGTCGGCCGGGAATGATTATGGGGTGAGCTTCGTCTGAGCTCAGACTTGAGTGATGTATGCGGCCTCCTATTCTTAGGAGTCCTTCCTCCCCCACTACAGGATGCAACTTCCACAAGCTGCTAGACGAAGAAATGTTAGATCCTGATCTCAAACATTTGAGCTCCTCTGCATAACTCTCGTACTGGACGCTCTTCACGATGCACACCTTGGCCTTTGTCAGCTCTTCCACTGTTGGATGGCAGATGTGCCACCTATGACACTTGTCGTTAACAGAACGGGAGAAAGAGCAAGCTACATGGATCAAGCGTGCTACTGCTGTGACAAGAGTGATGTACTTTGAAAAGCGTTCAAATCGTTGAGGGTGTACCACATTTCTGGTGACACATGTCAGACTTGTTGTCACTTCAGGACGAACCTCAGAGTCAAGAACAGGGTTGATGAGGTCATAAGTCTCTTCCAACTTAGGAGGATGCATGAGTGCATCCTTGAGAAAGGCTGGTCCTGTGAGCCACGTTGTACTGTTTAGGAGAGCTGGCGACACAGATCTGGACCCAATGTCTGCTGGATTGAGGTCTGTACGCACGTATTTCCACTGGCCAAGACATGGTGACTGATGAATGCGTTGGACCCTGTTGTGCACGGAGACATAAAATCTCCTCGACTGGTTGTGGATGTAGCCTAGCACAACTTTGCTGTCTGTGTAATATGTGATGTTGTCGAATGCTACATCTATCTCTGCAACTATCAACTCGGCAATCTCTACTGCGAGCACAGCCGCACACAGTTCAAGTCTTGCAATAGTGTGTCCAGGCTGGGGAGCCAACTTTGTCTTCCCAAAGATGAAGCCTACCTCGGTTTGACCTTCATGACTGGTCATCTTGATATAGGCCACTGCTGCGATTGCTGTCACTGAAGCATCTCCGAAGACACAGAGTTCTCTTGTTTTAGCACCTGCAGTAGAAAAGGGTGCATACGGGCGTGGTATATGGAGTTCTTGTAAGTCTTGTAGAGATTCCTTCCATGTAGTCCAGTCGAGCTCCATGTCTTTGGGGAGTGGCGCATCCCATTCGTCTGCTTGCACAGTGAGCTTTCGGAGTATTAGTTTCCCGCGTACTGTTACTGGTGCAAGGAACCCAAGGGGGTCGTACAGACTGTTAACTGCAGACAGCACTCCTCTGCGAGTAAACGGCTTCTGGTCATTTGCAATCTGAAACGTGAAGGCATCTGTGCACATGTTCCAGGACAGACCGAGGCTTCGTTGGGTAGGGAGCTCATCGGTAAAGAGGTCTAGGTTTCCAACATCCTTGGAACAATCCTCAGGTGGGAATGCTTTGATGACTCTTGGGCGGTTTGATGTGACTTTGTGCAACTTGATATTAGAGGCTGCAAGCATTTTCTGCGCTCGGCCGAGTACACTGATGGCTTCTTCTTCGGTGTTAAAGGACTTCAGGACGTCATCGATATAAAACTCACGGTCAACAAGGCTTCTTGCATCACTGCCATAGTTGGTCTCTGCTTCTTTAGCTGCTCTCCGTAGACCATAAATGGCCACAGCTGGAGAGGGACTGTTCCCGAAGAGGTGGACCCGCATCCTGTACTCCACTATATCGCTGGCGGGGTCATTGTTTCTGTACCAGAGGAAGCGCAGAAAGTCTCTGTGGTCCTCTCTTACAACAAAGCAGTGGAACATGTGTTCTGTGTCAGCAGTGATAGCCACCTGTTCCTTCCTGAACCTCATTAGCAGCCCAACCAAGCCGTTATTCAGGTCAGGGCCAGTGAGCAGAACCTCGTTGAGTGACACTCCTTCAAATTGTGCACTGGAGTCAAAGACCACACGAATCTTATCTGGCTTTTTGGGATGATACACACCAAACAGCGGCAGATACCAGCACTCTTGTCCTGATTTCATGGGCGGTGCAGTCTCTGCGTGTCCTTTGCCGAACATGTTTGCCATGAACTCTAGAAAGTGGGCTTTCATCTGTGGTCGTTTTTCCAGCGTGCATCTCAATGAGTTAAGACGATCTTGTGCTTGTTTCTTATTGTTAGGCAGCCTCTGTCTTGGTAGCCGGAAAGGTAGTGGTCCCACCCAGCTCTTCGAGCTGTCTTGATGAAACTCTGCTTCCATGATCTTAAGAAACTTCATATCTTCTACGGATGGTGCTAGTTTGTGGTCGTTGGCAGTTCGCGTGAAGATGGTTTGACCCAGACTGGCTGCATCATGTGTTGCTGTGCTGAACTTAGAGGTCAGTGCTGGATGATGTGTGTAGTCAGGGCTTTATTGAAGATTTCTCTTACCTTGATTTGGTTGTTGCATTGCTGCAGATGGCTAGTACGACCATTCTCCAAGATAGACGTCTTGTAACTGTTCACCTCTAGTGGTTTGTGAGCACCTGCTAGACACACGTCGCCAACGACAACCCATCCCAGGTCCAGCCTTTGGGCGAACGGTGCATCGTTTGGACCACTTATCTGCTCACGGACCTTGTGGACCCTGAGAATGTCTCTGCCCAGCAAGAGGAGTATGTCAGCTTTAGGATCGAGAGGTGGTATTTCGTCGGCGATGCACTTCAGGTGAGCATGGTGATGAGCTGCATTTGGCGTAGGGACTTCGGAGCGGTTGTTGGGAACTTGGTTGCACTCTAAAAGTGTAGGCAAAGGAAAGCTTAACTTTTTGTCTGCGGATTCCACTGTGAACCCACTAGCTCTTCTCCCTGTTGTCTGAGTTGATCCAGCGCATGTTTTCAGTGTGTAAGGGAAGGAAGGCCCTGTGATTTTGAAAACGTTGAAGAACTCAGAGCGTGCCAAAGAACGATTACTCTGCTCGTCCAGTATTGCATACATTTTCTTGGCTTCTCCCGAGCGACCAGCTGGATACACACTTACAAGGCATCTTTTTGAGCATGCTCGTGCGCTAACACCTTCACCACACACTTGTGTGCACCTTGATGTGACCTGATAGTCTGTTTTGTCTTCCTCCCCGCAATGCTCTGAAGAGGGAGGAGAGGGCTTAGGTTTCCAGACTGCTGGTCCTGGGTGTAGTGCTGACACGTGACCCGTGCTCCCACATTCTATACATTTCACCTCAGCCGTGCAGTTTCTGGCGAGATGACCAGTAGAGGAGCAGCACCGGAAGCAGAAGGAATGTTCCTTTAAGAGCTGTTTGCGCTCCTCTAGACTCCTTTCTCTAAAGCTTCTGCATTTCTTCAGAGGGTGTGGTTTATTATGTAGAGGACAATGGTTGTTTGGGTCTGTCAGCTTCTCATCCTCTCTGCTTTCATATCTGTCAGTAGACGACACTTGTGTCTTGTGAACAGATACAGGCATCTTTGTGGATTTCTCCCACGTACTATTTTTCTCCATAGGAACTGTTGTGGAGAGGTTGAAGCTGGGATCAGTACGAGCTTTTGCCTCTGTACGAACAAAGTCTGCAAAGACAGAGAAAGGTGGGAAACTGACATGATGATCACGTTTGTATCTTGAACCATAGGATATCCACTTTTCTTGGATGTTGTATGGGAGTTTCTCGACGATGGGCTTAACCCCTCTGGAAGTATCCAAATATGATAGACCTGGGAGGGAGCCGTCTCTCTTAGCAGCCTCAAGCTCTAGCAGCAGGTCTGCTAAATCTCTGAGTCGTTTTGGGTCTTTGTTGGTCAGTTTGGGGAAGCTTTCCAGCTTTTCAAAGAGAGCCTGTTCAATAACCTCAGGTGAGCCGTATATTTCCTCAAGCCTCTCCCAGGCCATCGTTAGTCCAGCGTCGGGGTGTCTGATGTTGACGGCTTTGATTCTTCTCGCCTGATCTGATGACTTCTTTCCCAGATATTTACAGAGCAGGTCGAGTTATTCTCCAACAGACAGATCCAGACCAGCAATAGCACTTAGGAAGGACGTTTTCCAAGCCCAATAATTCATTGGTTGATCGTCGAATGTTGTGAGGCCTGATGTTACTGCGGGCAAGATATTTAGCCAGATCGTTAGTGGTTTGAGAGTTGTGGTAACTGGCTTCATAGGGCGTACCTTGGTTAGGCTGATAAGCAGAGAATGGAGACTGCTTATTGAGAGTCCACGGTGATGCTGGTGTAGTTTGGGTAGAAACAGCAGCTTGTGTTTGAGCAAGGCCTTTAAGTGAGTAGGACTGTGTAGGCTTAACATCCTCTCCTTTACTATGCTGTGATGGTTCATTTAGGTGTGGGTCTATGGGGGCAACAATGTCACTAATTTTGCTAGGCGATCCACCTATGCTGCTGGTTTGCTCTCACATAAGCAGCGGTGCTTTGGTACCTAAAGTGTTGAGACACTGGATTAGAGCTTCTGCTGGTCTCTTCAACATCAAGCTCTAGTAAGCCAGCCTGCAACATTTTTACTTCAGCTATGGCAGCATCTTTCTCTTTTTCTTCCTGTAATGCATCGAGAGTAGCTTGAATGCGTGCTTGCTCAACTTTTAGCTCAATTTCCCACTTAGAGTGTGATGTTCTAGCCTGTGCTGCTTCAGCCCTTGCCATAGCCATAGCCAGTGCTAAATTAGCCTTTGAGCTGGATGATGAGCGCGACGCACGTGTGTGCGTTTACACTTATTTTATCCATGTTGTCATTTTCTTCCATAATGGCTGGGTTGTGAATTTAATAACGTGGATGAAGAGATAAACTGGCGTGAAGGCTGTACATATTCACTGAGTTAGCCACTTAGCTCTTGGTGTCGCTCCGTAGCAAGCCTGTCTCCGCCCCCGGAGCTGGCTGTAATGCCGTCTTTTCACTGTGAAGGTCTCACTAGCACTGAGCTAGCTATCCATCCAGTTAAACCGTTTGAAAGAAAACTCCAGCGCAGTTGTCAGTTTTACTGAAGTCTCTTTACTTGGTGAAACTGTAAAGACAATACAGACATAACAGTTTATTATTGACGAGCTAAACTAAACAGAATACTTCACACAATGAGCTACGACGCACAAACTGAGAAGCTAATCAGCCTAGCCGCTAGTAGCTTAGCCGCAAGGAATACTCACTGCATTCCTACAAACATAAACATTTTACATACAACATATTCTCATTAAGCCACAGCCTGTCGGATAATAACACTCACAGACGATGCGTGAACCAGCGGGAAATACGAAGCACAGCCCATGGAGAGCAGACATCCGTTCATGAAAACAACCCAAGCTACACATGGAGCACACTCGGAAACAAACAAGTTCGTTTTCCTAGTAACAGGAATCGAATAAACCACTGGCAAGCAGCAGTGTCAACCAACCACCACGAGGTGGTGCCAAAGCACAGCCAAGAAACACATACATGACAGATATACACCAAAAACACATATCAAGGACAGAACATATTCTATCACTGTATTATATAAGTAATCTTGTTAGTAACCTACTGTATGGCAGGTAGAGGGGCAGTGATGTTACAGGTGGAGGAGCAAGACTGCAAACTCACAAGACAGAGAAATCAAAGTTTGTTCTCCAGAGAAGAGGTTGATTTCACTTCAATTTTTTATTTCATATTTTCTAAAGATGTGGAAATGGCAACAAAAAAACACTTGAGAGCTGTAACCAAGACAACTGTAACAACAGGAGTAGAGAGCCACCAAGGTTTTTCAAGTCCCTCTCTTACTCCATTTTGCCAACCCAAACTTCCAGGTACATGACGGGACACCTTGCTTGTTTTTGTTGTTTGCTCTCCTCTGGCTGGGTGCTGGCAGGTGGAGGGCAGTGATGTTGGCAGGTGGAGGGCAGTGATGTTGGCAGGTGGAGGGCAGTGATGTTGGCAGGTGGAGGGCAGTGATGTTGGCAGGTGGAGGGGCAGTGATGTTGGCAGGTGGAGGGGCAGTGATGTTGGCAGGTGGAGGGGCAGTGATGTTACGGGTGGAGGGGCAGTGATGTTAGCTGGGTGCTGGCAGGTTGAAGAGCAATGTTTAGTCCAAATATTTCCATTCCAACGGCTAATGGAAATGATTGCAGCTGTGGATCTGTTTGGGGGTTGCTGGATGTGGTAGCTTGGCTGCTGTTGTTCCTTTTCACCTTTTTGGATTGGCTCTTGCTTCCAAAATGGCCATCTTTTAATTTAATTTTGTTTCTGTCATTTCTGATTTGTTTTGCCTCAATTCTCAGCCTCAGCCGTATGAATCTTTTTACGAGTTTTTGTTGTACTCCACAGCATGACGGAAGCCTGCTGGAGAGGGCCTGAGCTTCTTTCTCCAAGACACCCACTGCGTTGGGGAGCTGCATGAGGGAGGAACCAGTCTTGGTCCTAAATAGTTCCTCAATTTGGTGAATGAAGTCAAAGGCTTCTTGGGAGGGACGACAAAGAGCACCTGCCTTGAAGTCTTTCAAGTCCACTAACAAGCTGTTGTCACCAGAAGGACTCTCATCATGGTGCTCTGTTGCAATTTTGCATTTTTCACAGATGCTGGCAAACTTGATGATTTTGTGGACGATGTAGCCTGCAAGATGGAAGAGAATACATTTCTCAGTTTTTGTGAGGTCAGGTGCTGCTGCTCTGTTCACCGCCATCAGCTGTTCCACTCTGACTGATGGAGTGATTTTTGGCTCCCCTGTGTCCAGGAAGTCTGCCAAAAAGCTACTGTGGTCTTCCTGGTAGCTCCCAGAGCTGATGGTGGTGAGGAACTGCCCCACAGATATGATTCTCAGTGCATGAAGGAATTCCACTGGAGTTGGGACAGGATTTTTAGACCTCACACAGCTGAATGTATTTTCAAGGCAGTCTTGTGTGAACCTTGACGTTAACACAAACCTGTGTCCTTGTGTAAGCATCTCCTCTTGTATGGCCAAAATTGATGTTGTTGCCATTATCACCCCTGTTTGAACAGGCTTCCAACCTCCCTTTTGACCTATCTTTATCCCACGAAACAGATGGACGATGTTCTGGAGGAAGGTGATGGCCTTTTGGTACTCCTCCATCTTGAGCCTGCTCAGGGCTGTAATTGGATGGCGAGATGACACCAGATCAAACCAACGATCAACCTGCTCCAGGAACCACGCTGTCGTCAGGTATGACAGAGGGCGGTTTTCTTGCTGCACCATGTATTTCAGCCCAGCACTTGTAGCCTTACTGAACACATTTAGAGCAAGACCAACCTTCATCTTATCAAAGTGACTTGGCTCGATGGCTGCAGCTGAAAGATGGGGAGCTATTTTTAAGGCCATCCCTTCCTCAAAGGTCAATAAGTCCTTAATGGGGACCACAGAAACCTCGTTAGAGGGGAGGTTCTCTCTGTTAACAACATCCTCAGGAATTATGAAGACCTGCCCACGGACAAGGGTACTTTTTAATTTTTTTACCAGATGTGGGACATCGGGCATGAAATAGAGCTGCCTGTCTGGTTTTGCTGGATGTGGCACCGATGTTTTATTTTGGTCCACCCCAAAGGATTTCCACATGGCTCGGTTAGGGCTACCCATGTCGGTGGTGACATCAAGCACATGTAGCCCTATGGATGCTGCCCTCTGTATTATATCAATAATGATTGGCCTGTACTCTGCTCCATTGGTAGAATTGCCAGTGTAATGATATGCCACTACTTGCTTCCACTGTGTTGTGTTTCCAGCCAACATAAACACACAAGCATGCGTTGCCACCCCTGTGTGACCTGGTAAAGTCACATCACCGTACAGTTTGCCTGTAATCATGTCTAACTCCACACTTGGTGTGATTGCCATTTCATCCAAGGTCAACACACACTCCCTTTCAAGGTCTGGCAATCTATCTGCCTTCAATTTTAGGAAATCAAAGACCTCTGTCAACACACCAGGCTCAAACTTAACACATTCCATCCTTCTTTGCAGTGTCCTTATTCCTGGAAGGGGAATCTTCAATTCCTGCAGAGTTTTGTAACCCGTTGGTCCGCTCGCAAAGCGAATTTTTAAAGCCTTCTTAATTGTCTCATTGCTCCATTTCATCCCCTTTGTGGTGAGTCTGCCTAATGCCTTCAGTTGGTCTTTTGAAAACGTTTTCTTATATTTCTTGTCCCTAATTTTCATTGTTTTCTTGAGAGCTGCATTTTCCTTCCTGATTTTTCTTAGTGCAGCCTTTGCTTTTTTGGTGATTCCTTCTTGGCTCTTTAATTTTCTCTTTAATTGTTGTAATAGATCTGTTTGACTGGCTGCTGGTTCCCTCGTATGCTGACTGGCTGCTGGTTCCCTCGTATGCTGACTGGCTGCTGGCTGAGTGGGTGGTGTCCGCCCTCCCTGTCTCTCCTCACTAGCCATGTCCTCTCTTTCTTCACCCTCACTTTCCTTTCTCTCAGTCTCCTCATCCCTTCTTCCCTCAATCTTTGAGACTAATGTAAGTAGAAGACATGGCACTGTAAATGTTCGAACATTTAAAATATTATACCACTTAAAAATAAGAAATATTACTTTTGTTACTAAGAGTTCATACTTATTATACCTGTGTCACCTTTCACACTATCGCTGTGATCATGAGCTATGGGCTTTGTAGATACAGGTCCCGGGGTGAATCGTGGTGCAGGGGCCCTTCTCTTTTTGACCACAGGGCGATGCACAAAGATGGTGGGTATAGCCTCTGCTCTCAGCCTAGTCTTGCCCTTTTTTGTCTTGACAAACTGGTCTGCATCAAAATGTGCCTGCGGAGTGACTTGAGGTTACTTCACACACAGAACAACTGTGTCTGAATCTTGTCTGCCCACATACATATTCCATAGTGGTTGAATACACAGTATTAGGAAACACGTTATACTTACTGGACATGTTATACTCATTACATACTGTATATACAATATGACCAAGAATGTGAGACAACTTTATAGAAATTCATATCACATCTGTTACTGATGCCATTTGTCATACTTTATTAAATTCACAAATAATAAAGTTCCATAACTTCAGTTGGGAACAAAGACCACACCTTATCTCCCCAAGGCAATTTCCCATCCAATAGGTGTGCTGTGTGTGTATAACCCTTTCTCCTGTCTGTTTATCCCTCTTTCAGCACAAGAACCAGAGGGGGATTCAATGGAGCCTGAATACCTGCACTGAGACCCTCACCCTGCACCCTGATTCTCAACTCTGTGTTTTTCAAGCCTTTCCCTGTTTTTTTGTATTAAACAAAACATTAAGCTTTCTCAATGGTGTGGTTTTCGTTTTGTGAAAAAGTGCAAATGCAGTGTTTGTATATAATTACCTCACATATTTTGTTGCTGTTGGTCGTGAAATTGCTCCTGCTTCCTCCGCTCTGTGTCAGTGGGGAAGCCGTACATTCGTACTCCTTTCTCGGAGCGATTGGAGCATCCCCAGGCAGCACAGCAAACCATGGTGGCGACTAGGAGGCAGCACAGCAAACCAGGACAACACGGAGGAAAAGGCACAGACAAACTGCATGATATGCTATTCAATGTTTATTGAATTCCATGTATTTGCAATGGATGTTCCTAAAACAACACATTTAACATCATCATCATCATGCTGCTGCTGCTAGTCCTTTGATAGTCACCTGTCGGTCTCCTGTCCTTTCTGAAAGCCATAAAGATGACATTAGTCATTTAGATAACTTGTGTCCTCAATTACCATGGTTACTGAAACTACCATGAATTTAAGAAAATGGTAGACATTAATCTAATCTGAATTTTAAAGCATTACTTTAGATCCCCTCCCTCTAAATATATCAATACACATTAGAAAGTGATGCTCCTGACTACCATACAAGTTTAAGAAGATAATATTGGTTTTAAAGAATTCAAAGCTATAAATAAACAGCAACAGGCTCTTTAACCAAGGCACTGTTAGCCTAACATGTAAACTAGTTGTTCACACTAATCCTAATATTATCACTTAATATTAGCAAATTCTATTTTATGTTTAAAACATATTGATGTAAATACATACACATATCGATTTGTTGTATAAATATTGCAAATCAAAACCTTTATTCACTAATAACTACCAAAAATCGTAGTTCTATCTCCTGTTATCAATGCATTCACATTGCCCGCCATGAACTTCCGGGGAACGATCCTCGTCTACATGAACCACGTGACGATAACCGTTTTTGGACTTCCGTTGTCGTAACTCTTCTATTATACGGCTCTGGGTCAAAACTAATGTGTTGACTATGTGCATTTTTATTTTTATACGTACACACATGTGTGTAAAATAGTTCAGAAATGACACTGAATGTGTTGAATTGCCTTTGACACAGCAGTGTGTTAAAAAAAATGACACATTAATTCTAGGAGTGCAATACTTTTACAAACACTATGGTAATAATATGCATTCATTATGACAATATCATATTACTATAGGAGTGGTCTATAGTGTGTTCAAAAAATAA